AAGCCGCTCTGTGGAGTCCTTAGGAAAAATCTGCTATCCTTTTCCAAGGTAAACATCAGCTTGGCTTCCATCTCTCAGCTTGTAACATGCCTGTCTGGATGTTTGTTAAACTTTCACATCCAGCCAGCTGTGTAACTTCCCCCTTCTAGCTCTATTTTGCCTGCCTAACCCACCTCTGTTTAAACTGTCTGGACACTGCGACGGCTGTTAATCACGGGGTTTCTTGCCAGCTTTTGTTCACAAAGGTACCTCAAACTCTCGTGCTGAAAGTTCAGGATGGGAAGTGTTTGGAAACTAAATGTCACTTGGTGACTTGTGGCGTTTTGAATTACTTGCCTTCTATGCCTCTTCTCTCTCCCCCCCCCCAGACTTCAGAGACAGTGCCACATTTATACGCATGCCAAGTTAGTTATACTGGAGGAAGGGATGGGCTACCTGTGGCCCCCCCACAACATTCTTGGACTTCAAATCCCAGTATCTCTCACCATTGGATGTGCTGGCAAAGGAATGATAGGGGTTGGAATTCAGTAAGATCTGGAGGGCCACAAATTGATCTTTTTAGTTTGGGGCCTCAGATTAAGAAGGGCCACTTTTAAATAAATTAAATCCTAGGTTAGACCTAACAGAGTAATATCCATTTTGGAATAATGCTATGGGGCTTCTTAACTTGGCTTACAGTAGAGGCAAACAACGTATGACTCTCCATATATTGTTGTACTGCAACTTCCATCAGTTTTAGACAGCAAATATGGAGAAATGGTGGGCTTTGCAGTCCAACTGTAACTGGAGGTCTGCATCGCACCACCAATGCCTCAGTGTATCTTAATTTGACCCTCTTCATATAACAGCAACAAAAACCTAGAACAAAACACACTAGACGTAGTAGTAATAGAATGAAGAAATTTCTGGATAATTGACATTGCAATTCCAGGGGATGTCAGAGTTGAAACTAAAAAACTGGAAAATGTAACAAAACACAGAGACCTGGTAATCAAAATATCTCGCTTGTGGATGAAACATACTTCAGTGGTCCCTGTAGTCATTGGGGCTTTGGGAACAATATTAAAAAATTTCACACAGTATTATAAGCAGTTGCAGATCTCAGAAATAACATCATCAGAGCTATAAAAACAGCAATATTAGGAACAGAATATATAGTACTACATTGATATTTAACAGATAGGTTTTGGGTTAAAACTACATTGATATTTAACAGATAGTTAGGTTTTGGGTTAAAACTTGTATCTCTTACATAATACAATGATTTTATAATTTTGGTTGACTGCGCCCAGAATTTTTTAACAATAACAAAACAACAACAACAACAACCAGTTGCAGATCTCAGATCACACCATCAGAGCTACAAAAAATGGCAATATTTGGAACAGCATACATACTGCGTTGATATTTAACAGATACCTAGGTTTTGGTTAAAACTTGTATCTGTTATATAATACCAGTCAATGTATTCTTGAAGGC